AGTTTGTAACCTTTAACACTAAATGGATATCCTAAGAAAATGCATCTTTTTGCTCAAGAGTCAAACTTATGTCTACCATTCATGAGTGTTGTGGAATAGGCTAAACATCCAAAGACCTTTAGATGAGAGTACGAAGGTTTCTTCTGAAATAGCATCTCAAAGGGGCTTTTATTTTCCAGAAGTGTTGTAGGGGTCCTGTTGATTAAATAGACGGCTGTCAAGACACATTTATTCCAATATCTCAATGGAATGCCACGCTGAAATCTAAGGGCTCTTGCAACGTTTAATATGTGTTGATGTTTCCTCTCAACAATAACATTTTGTTAAGGGGTTTCAACGCAAATTCTTTGATGTTTTATCTAGGTAGAATTGTTTCATATTAAATTCTGCCCCATTATCACTTCTCACCACTTTGATTTTGCTTTGAAATTGAGTCTCAATCAGTTTATAAAAGTTTTGTAAAGCACTGGTGGCTTCCGATTTCAATTTCAACATATATACCCAGGTGTACCTACTAAAATCATCCACTATAGTTAAAAAATAACGTGATCCATCATAGCTAATTTCATTGCAAGGTCCCCAGATATCACAATGTATTAAATCGAAATATTTTAAAGATTTGTGTTGACTAACAGGGAATGGAAGCCTATGCAACTTAGCTAAAAGACATATAGAGCAAGCCTTATTCTATGAGGTTAATTTAGGTATGGAGTCTTCAAGTGCAAGTGCAGAATGAGATGGATGTCCCATTCTGTAATGCCAAATGTCGAACTCTTTATCATGATTGATAGCAGAGGTTGCAAGATGAGAGGTGCTGCTTAGATGACTGAAAGTTTCCTGAAAGGCCATAGGTGAGACTACTGAGGGCAGAACTTGGTAGAGGCCAGATTTTGCTTCATCCATTTCAGTCGTTGTCTAAGTCGAAAGGTCCTGTATAAAGCAGATATTAGGGAAAAAATGACACAACTATTTAGTGTTTGAGTGAGCTTCTTAACAGATATAAGGTTGAAAGAAAAAGAGGGAACACAACACATCCTCAAGTACTAATTTATCTGTGACTTGTACAGTCCCAACACAGGTTACTAGGACTCTAATCCCATTTGGTAGACTTACTGAACAATCAGCTTTAGATTTGATAGAGGACAGAAAAGATGGACTGTAGATCATATGATCTGTTGCTCCCGTATCCAAGATCTAAGGAATGGCATAATTATTGGACTTTGAAAAGTTAAAAACAGATGAGTAAAGTGATATACCAGATATTTTTGGAAGGATATTGTCTGAATCTGAGGGAATGATACTTTAAACCTGGTTTGATGAGGAGGCTGTGCTTTGATTTGCTGGTGACTTCAGGATAGTCATTAAGTGAGAGTACTCATCTTGAGTGAGAGACACATTAGCCTTGTTGCTCTGCTGCTCCTGGTTTGATGAGGAGGCTGTGTTTGGATAGGCAAATAGAAGCCTGATTTGCTGCTGGTATGTACCTGTTCTTTCCCTCAAATTTGTTGCTTGGTAGATATCCGTGTAGCTTGTAGTACTTGTTTGCAGTGTGGCCTGGCATCTTACAGTGTGAGCATATAGGTTTTCTTAGATCCTTCAGGCATCTCTCAAGTGAGTGTCCTGTAACCTTACAATAAGTGCAATAATACCTATCTCTTCTCTGTGAAAAGGGATTTTGTCTACCATTATCCTTGAAGTTACCTTTAGCCAATAACGACATTGTTTCATTGATGGCACCATCATTTGATATCTGTCTTCTCTTCTCTTCTTGCTGGACTATAGCATATACTCCATTCAAGGTGGAAAATGGCTTGTTCAAAAGGACCCGTGCCTTAATGGCTTTGTAAGAATCATCCAACCCCATTAGGAATTTCATTACCCAGTCTTGGTTCTGATTATCAACCACAGTCTTCAGACCTCTTCATGTGCAACTAGGGACTGATTCATAGTTCATCAGTTCATCAAGAAATGTTTTGAACTTAGAAAAATATACACTTACAGCATCCTAACTTTGTGACGGAACTGTGATGGCTTGCTTAATCTCGAAAATTCTGGGTGCATTTTGTTGTGCAAACCTTTGTTCCAACTCTTACCATAATTGATAGGCTGTTTCAGCATATGTAGTGCTGTATTTTATATCCACAGCCATGGTGTTTTGAAGTCAGGTGATAACAATGTAATTGCACTGAAGCCAGTGCTCCATCAGTGGGTCATTAAGTTCCTGAGGTTCTTGGATGGTTTCATCTACAAATCCCAGCTTGTTTTTGATCCTGAGAGCTCTCTTCATTGATCTTGCCCATGAGTGGTAATTTTTGGCGTCAAGAACGTGAGTAACCAGAATAGATCTAGTGCCATCATTGCTCCTAATGTAGTATGGGCTACTGAAATGTGTTGGATCATGAACCAAAGTATTATCATTTTGGTTAGTATTTTGTGGATGTTTGATGACTAATTTTCTGATTCAGCCATTAAAGCTCTGATACCATGTAAATTCTGAGATGAATGAATCGAATTTTACTGTGAAATCAATTCTTGAATTCCACTTAAAAATGAAAAATACAATGTACAAAGTATAACATATATACACGTTTGAGTGAAGTAAATGACAAAATCAATTACAAATTAGTGGAAGAGTATTCTCCTAACAGAAACCATGTGGAAGGCATAACGGATTGTGAGCGATCAGATCTTCTAGTATCTTCCATTGCACAATCAGAAGCTGATGAAGCTGGAATAGGTGACAAGGCAGCTGATGGTTCTACATTGGGTGATTAGGCTGCTAGCTCCCTTTCTCCTTTAGCTCGTGATTCTCCCAAGCTTGTGCTTCATGTTTCAACAAGAATTGATTGCCAACTTCAATATGATCGTTGGTATTTGTGTCATTACCCAATTTGCATCACCTTATGAACTCAGTAACAATGAATAAATTAATTAATCATCGGAAGAATGAAAAGAACCATAGTTTCCATAAATTCTCCAACAACAAGAAAAACAAGATGCGATGAAAGAAATACATTGTCTACTACTATTATTTTATACTTTTGTTTAACCTTCCTATCTATTGCTATCTTATTCTGCGCTTTAGTATAAAAGAAATTTTTCATTAACCATCAACTAAAAGGAGGCAGCTATTTTTACATACATTGACAGAAATCATCACCTGGACCCAAATTTTTTGGAGATAGTAATAACATACTCATAAAGCACCAAGATTATATAGAATGAAGATGACTAGATACTAAGACCATATATAGAATGAATAACTATGCAATTAGATTAGTAGAATGATGCAGCCTTATTTACTTCAGATAATTAAGAAAATTAGTTATCATTGCTTTTAGCTAGATTTTATTCTCAAGAACATTAATAGATGATGATTTTTGCATTCAATGGAAAATATAGAGATACAATCAATGGGGTGCGTGTCATCAGCAACATTGTGTTTCAATTACAAAAATAAATATAAAAAAATGCTGAAGTTATGGGGCTCAGTAATTTTAATTCATTACGTCATAATATTCAGTATTTTTGAAATATAAAATATCATGCAATACATTATGAAATATTTAATTTTTCTTGGTTATATGTGATTTTTTCCAAAAATTTAAATTTTTATAGCCATCTTTAAATTTGGGTTGGGACAAGTTTGGACTATATCCCAAGCCCGTCTCCCCTTGTATCTGCCTGTAAATAGAATTTAATGATTTTGTTGAATGTAAACACAAATGTGTTTGGGGATGACACTCATGCTACATGTATATATTTTTTACATCATTTTTGACATTGTGCCACGCAGTGACACATAATTGGAAAAAGAAAAAAAACACTTTCGCGCCCAACATTTTTTGAACCTGAATGGAGTGTACATAAAGATGTAAACCAAATAATGTACACTTAGCATTATTCTAGGGATGATCCTTGTAGCATGATTTACAAAAATCTATTTATGCTATTATTCTTGATTCCACCGCCAAACTCTCGACCCTTCTCTAGTGTTGATTGCAGTAATTTTGTGTGTATGGTCCCAATAATGAATCATTAAATAAGATAATACAAGTGTGCGCGTATACTAAAATGGACATAATGCAAATATGAAAGAAAAATCCATAATCACAAAAAAGAACCTTATTTTTTTGTTCTACATTATTCACTTCCCATATTAACAAGGACCACACGCACCTGTCCCGTGTCACGCTCATGTGGTCGAAAGGTTGGCCTGTCCTCATCCAAATTAATTTAATTTCTTGCACTGGAGTAACTTGATAAATTATAACCCCTAAAAATTTATTCCAAATTTTAGTTTGAGGCCATTGTAGGAATTTTCTACACTGGCTTCAAAATAAAATAAAGGGATTACTGCAGCAAAAGTCCAAAATTTTTTAAATATCAGCAGACTTTCCTTTAATCTTTGATTTATTGCAATCGTCACCCCTAACATTTCCAAATTTTGTAGGTGAAGCCCTTTTAAATAGTTTTCATCTATAATTATGTCAGTTAACCAAAAATTTAACTTTGACAACATTTTTAATATTTTAAAAAGGTGCAAAGAGTAACTTTCTACGTATCACATTAAATAATTGAATAAAAAAATAAGGAAAAAAAAAACACACACCCACACCCCGATGTCTTCTTCATCTCAACTCTCACCCACCCTCACCCTCAAACCCAAAATCCACACCAACCACCGCAACCGCCATCACTACCTCCATCTACACATTCACCTCAAACCCAAATGTCCCATTCGAAGAACAAAAGAAAGATTAATCAAGAATTTATTCATAGTGCCGTAGCCACTTAGTATGCAAATACCTCTGTGCCGCCGTGTGGCTAAAATGGACACACTTTCTTGAATATTGCAACCGTCAACGACCTCCATTACATGGGATCTAAGTGCATTTGTACTATCTCGAGTGATGATTATAGAGGGTTTTGGTTTGTTCATTGAACCTACGGGTCTGCCTCTAGGTCTTCTTGTCATTTTTCCTTCTCTGGTGGTGGCACTAACTCTTTCCCCTCGACGCCGCCGCCGTCGTGGTGGTGAAAACACCGTAATTATCGTCGCAATCTCGCTTTAGGCTGCAGTTTATATTTTTTTTCACTTTGTTCATCTTCAAGATTCTGCTAGCAGTGCGTGCATTGGTTATGGTGGAGCTGAAGATCTCTGGTGTGAAATGGAGGTGGCAAAGGGTGGCCTTAAGCTGTTAACTAATTCCTCAGTACTGTTGAAATACCCGTCCGCTTCTTCAAATTATACAAAATCTGTATTAACATAAGTAAATTCAGACGCAAAAACAAGGGAATTCCTCTATCTTACAAGATAGGATTTTTGAGAATTTCTACCAAAAGTTCCACTTATTTTCAGAATTTTTCGATTTGATTTTTGGTTAATTGTTCTTTATGGTTGCTAGGATGAATTTGGGATTTAGTTAATTGTTGTTTAATTGCTCATTTTGGGCATTTGGGTCTGAGTTTGAGGTGGAGGTGGCAGTGGTCAATGTGGATTTTAGGTTTGAGGGTGAGGGTGAGGGTTGTGAGAAAGAAGACACTAGTGTGTGTTTATGTGTGTGTGTATGTGTGTGTGTTTTATTTCTTATTTTTAATTTAGGGCTCGTTTGATTCTCATTATTGTAGAATGAGAATGAAAAATATAGCAATTATTGGACCTTACACAAGAGATAGAAATTCAAAATTGATGGCTTGATGTGATGGATAACGGTCATATTATTCATTTTTATGGATAAAAAATGATAAACAAACGGGGGCTTAATTATTTCATGTGGTGAATGGAAAGTCACTCTTTTTTTCCCCTTTAAAATATTAAAAATGTGGTCAAAGTTAAATTTTTGATCAACTGACAGAATTATGGATGAAAACTTTCCAAAAGGGTTTCACCTGCAACATTTGAAAATGTTAGGAGTAACGGCTGCAACAAATCAAATGTTTGAAAAAAGTCTACTAATGTTTCAAATGTGTGGGCCTTTTGCTGCAATTATCCCTAAAATAAACTACAATAAAATAATATTGAACCTAACAACTCTTGTCGATCAACATAGTTTATTATTCACGTTCTATTCCACTAAAAAATGAAATTGCACTTCGAAATTATTGAAGCCAAATAATCAAAAATTATATCATCTGACTAATTGCTCTTACATATTACCCCATCAAACACTACAAATATTTGAAATAAAATGGCAAATAAGCTATTTTCCAGATATTCATAAATCCTCAAGTCTCATTTTCTATTCAGCATATTTATGCTATCATCTCGCAATATTAATACAATACTTAATGTCGAATTACTAAGCTCAGACTTAACCATCCATCAAAAATTCCCTTGAAGTCATGATAGTACCAGAGCCAAGAATAGGACTTTGTTTTGGTTGATGAAAGATTCAGGCTAATGGGCCTCTTTAAATAGATTTATTTTCACAATTGAGTGATTTGACGAATCGATTTGAAATTGGTACCACTTCATTCAAATCCATCTTGGCTCCTTTGCATTTGATTGTTGGAAGAGTTTTTACCGATAAAATAGGCAATATTCCAGAGTGTTAATATATGTTTCTCGTTATTTCACTATTATTTCCAAGCCGTTGAGATATTGATCAGTAATTTGACTTACCCATTGATACCTTAAAAAACTTCAAGTTAATAATCAAAGTCCATCAACCGCTCAATATTAAGGTTTTGGTATGACAAGCAAGTACAATTAAATTGTACAATGAATATCACAAATTAAATTGTACGTAGTCCAGCCAAATATGTTCAAGATGTACTATCAATCTAATTATAAAAATAACAATGAACTTCAATTGAGATGATCTTATCAAAAGAAAGTATCGATCTTTATTTGTTCATCGTGGACCATAAATTTTAGATCGAATTATGAATAGAATATTTCTTTACTTAACAACTTAGTCTTATGATTCATAATATCAAAATGATCTATGAACACGTGTAAGTTCATGATAGCAAAATAATTTTTTTGAAAATTTTAAAATATTTTGCTTAAAATACGGTGAATACGAAGTTATGATTTAATAAAAGTTCATTTGGTAAATAGGGTTGTCAAAATTTGGAGACTACCACAAATAGAATGAAGTATGTTAATTGATAAACAGTTGTCGTAAACATGAAAGGTGACTGAATGACGAATGAATAAAGCAGCACGAGCCTAAACAAATAGCCAAATGAACAAAATTGCACTAAATAAAAAATGAAATCTCATCAATAAATTGCAAGGAAAGAAGTGACATTTCACTAAAGAAATAAGACAAAAGCGAGCTATCTATCTAAATTAACTAGCATCTAAAGGTTTCTAAAAGTGGGATCATCTTGGTTAACTGGGTGTTACCCTAAAAGGAAACACTCGCCGTTAATGGTGTCAATGAGTCGAGTTGAGCTCGAGCCGAAAAAAAAGCACGAACTGAGCCCGAACTTTTTTGGGTCGAGCTTTTTTCGGCCCGAGCCGAACCCGGCCAAAAAAAATGAGGCTCGGTTCGAACTTTCGACCCGAGCCTTAGCGGGCCAAGCCGGCTCGGGTTTTTTGGATTTTTTTTTTAAAGGCTGCCTTTGTTGTGGCAGCAAGCTGCCTTTTGCTGTGGTAGCTTGCTGCCTGTGCTGTGGCAACAACAAGCTGTTTTTAAAAAATTAATTTTAATTTTTTTTTAATATTAATGGGTAGGCTCGCTCGGGCCACGGCTTGGCCCGGGCTCGGTTCAAGCAGAGCCTGCTCGGGCTTTTTCTGGGTCGAGCCCGAGCCGATGAGCTTTTTTGCCATCACTACTTGCCGTGGTGGGTGGAGAAGCATCAACACAAGTATGAGCTGGCTTAGCACTAAAACCAGATTCAGATAGAAGAAATGAACGAAGGGTCTACAAGTTGGCAAGTTCGGTAGAAATGAAAGGATTATCCAAAACCTCAATAGTGTACGGAGTTTTCTCGAAAAACGGGTGTCCTCGGTATCCACTTCACAAGCTTCCCAAAAATCTATGTTTCGCTTGGAATGAAAATTCATAATAATGTCAAGAACTTCATCCCCCTTTCTTGCATGGCTTCCTTAATAGGCTTCGCCTCAGAAAGGCTAGACTTCGAAAGAGCCAACTTTGTCTTTGTACTCTCCATCTAATTAAGAAGCAAAGATTTCTCATCCTTGCCGTATCAATGTCTTGAGAGAGAGCATATTGATCAACCATGACTGTTTGAAGTTCCTTTTTAAGGCGTGAAAGCTCGTGCCAGTTTTGGCAATATAAGCTGCATGAATTTTCTTGTCCAGTTCCAAATCTTAGGAAACCCTCTTAACATCAGCTATCAAGGAAGCCTCCCTTGTAACAATGGCCTTAGCACTTTTGCTCATTTCCTTATATTTTCTTATCTCTTTCTTAACTTTCTCCATTTTTTTCTGAAGAGTCTCGCACTTCTTCTCCACGAAATCAACTTTCTTCTTCAGTTTGTTGGCCAGCAATAGAAAGAAAACTAGATCTTTATATATCAGAAAATTACTTAAAAGGATAACAATCTTACCTATTATATCTAGCCTTATATAAACATTAATGCTATACACGCAAATTACATATAGAAGGAATATTCTATAGTACACAGCACCTAATTGCTAGCTGGCTAACAGATTATATTCTTCAAGGGCATTCCACTGTGCTGAGCATTCCACCGAGAATTAGTTAGGCTGTTGGTTTGTTTTTAGTGTAAACTTTAACACCCCCTCTCAAGGTGGAGTGTATCTCTAACACTCCAAGCTTATCTCTTAAAAATATGAATCTAGAGTGAGCAAAGGGTTTGGTTAATACGTCTGCTGTCTGATCCAAGGAGAGTACATAATTAATTTCCAGCTCTCCTATCTCAACACTTTGTCTCTTACAAAGTGAATATTAAGTTTGATGTGCTTTGTTCGTGCATGATAAATCGGATTTGAAGCAAGTGCACTTGTACTCAAGTTATAGCACCAGATCTTGGGAGTTGTCGTCTGTGGTAGATTCAGTTCATTCAACAGGGATTGAATCCATGTAATCTCAGATGCGGGCCAGTGCACGATATTCCGCTTTAGTGCTGGATCTTGCAACGACTTGTTGTTTCTTGGAGCACCAAGAGACTAAGTTATCTCCAAGGTACACACATATCCTGCTATAGACGTTCTATCATCTGGGCATGATGCCCAGTTAGAATCTGCAAATGAGGTTATGTTGACGTTGTCATTTTTTGTAGATTGCTAGGCCATAGTTGAGTGTGCCTTTCAGATACCTAAATATCATTTTCAGAACTTTCCAATGAGTATCAGTTGGTGTCTAGAGAAATTGACTTAGTCTATTTACTGAAAAAGCAACATCAGGCCTTGTATGTGTTAAGTAATGGAGACCACCAATACCACTCCTATATAGAATTGGATCCTTCATTGCCTGACCATCAGTCTTGGAGATTAGCGTCTTTGTTGCCATGGGCGTTATACTTGGTTTAAGGTTCTCATAACCGAATCATTTTAGTAACCTGATGGCATATCTTGTTTGAGTTATGTATAATCCGGCTATGTCTCTATGAACTTCCATTCCCAGAAATTGATTGAGACTTCCTAAATCCTTAAGGTCAAAGCACGAATTCAGACTATCAATAACGTCCTACAGCTTTTCACTATTGCTTCCTGTAATAATTATATAATCCACATAGATGAGAATGAATAATAAGCTTCCACCATCAGCTGAGAAGAAAAGTGAGTTGTCGACTTTGGACTATTTGAAATTCCATTTCAGCAAAGTACTTTTCAACTTCTCATGCTAAGCTCTTGGAGCTTGTTTTAGCCCATATAATGCCTTCTCTAGCTTGCACACAAAATCGAGATTTTCTTTGTCAATAAAACCCTGTAGCTGATACATGTAGATAGTTTCATTTAGACCTCCGTTCAAGAAGGCATTATTTACATCTACTTGCATGATATGCCAGTCTTTTGAAACAATAAGAGTTAGGATAATTTTCAGGGTTGATGTTTTAATAACTGGACTAAAAGTCTCACCATAATCAACTCCTGGTGTTTGAAGAAAACCTTTAGCTACTAACCTCACTTTGTGCCTTTGAACCCTTCCTTCTGAGTCATGTTTCAATCTAAACACCCACTTGTTTCCAATAACTTTCATTCCAGTTTCATGAGGTACAAGCTTCCGTGTTTGGTTTGTCATTAGAGCACTGTATTCATCCTGCATTACTCTCTTCCAGTTATCACTTTTGAAGGCTTCAGTGACAGTTAGTGGCTCAGAGTCTATTTATGTCTGACTGGTATATACCTTAGGCTTAAAAATTCCTGCCTTGCTTCTAGTAATCATGTGATGACTGCCAGTCCTTCTTGCATTTTGATCTTCAGCATTGTGCTCATTCTCCACATCTTGAGCTTCAATTTCACCTTGGTTGATATCAAGAGTTTGCTGACGAGAATCCTCTTGATCAAGGTATTCACCTTGAGCTCCTAATTCATTACCAAAGTTGTCTTGTATCTCAGTTTCAATCCGAGGAGCTAGTTCTCTGCTGGATGAAGCTACTGTAGGTGGTGCATCAGACTGCGTTATATCAGCTGCATTATGATGTTCTGTTTTGTTGCTGAACTCGATTTTATAAGGAAGAAAACTGACAATTGTTTGAGTGTTTTGTGGCTGAGAGACTTTGGTTAGAAAACCAGATTTGAATGGAAAAATAGACTCATTAAATACAACATGTCTAGAGACATAGACTCTTCCACTGGGACTTAGGCACTTAAAACCTTTGTGAGAATCACCATAGCCAAGGAACACATTTCTTTGTGAGTGGAAACTAAATTTATGCATTTGGTAAGGTCTGAGATAAGGGTAGCATGCACAGCCAAATGTTTTGAGAGATTTGTAATCAAAATCTTTTCCATATAGAACTTGAAAGGGTGATTTGTGATTGAGCACAGCAGTTGGTAGCCTGTTAATGAGAAAAGTTGCTGACTTAAATGATTTCCACCAGTAGAATAGGGGCAATTGTGCTTGTGCTAACAGAGTCAAACCAGTTTCAGTGATATGCCTGTGCTTTCTCTCTATCATGCCATTTTGCATTGAAGTATATGATCATGAATGTCTGAGTTCAATCCCCAGATAAAGAGGCAATTTGGTTAAAGTTTCTGAACTCTCCTCCCCAGTCAGATTGAAGGGTTTTAATCATTTTTTCAAATTTGTTTTCTACCATATTTTTTAATTGAATGAAGGTGTTTAAGGCTTCAGATTTGTGTTTCATAGGGTAGATCCATGTGAACCTGCTATGGTCATCCATAAAGATGATATAGAACCTGAAACTTGAGGTAGATTTTAGTGGTGCAGGCCCCCAGACGTCTGTGTGGATTAACTCCAAAGGATTAGAAACATGTAATGTAGATATTTTGAAAGGTAAAGCATGAGATTTTCCCATTTGACAGGATTCACAGAAAGTTAAGATTTCATTAATTTTGAAGTGTTTATTATAGGACTTTAAGACTTGACTCAAGACGCGATTTGAAGGATGGCCTAATCTTCTATGCCAATCTTCAATCTCAGACTCTAGTAGCTTGACACATTTTGCTGACTCTTCACAACTGGGACTTACAACAAGACAGTTGGGATTATTTTGATTGGCTGACTCTTTAGTTAAGAACCTTGAATTAGAACCTCATAACATGCGCTGATATAGCCCGTCTTTAAGCACTCCCTGTAGCATCGTCTTCCTGGTTTCCAGATCCTTTACAAGACAATAGTCAGGGTAAAATTCCATCAGTAGGTTGTTATCACTGGTAAACTGTGAGACACTAATCAAATTCTTTTTAATTTCTGGAACATAAAACAATTTGTTTAGTGCAAGATTTCTATCATTTGATGAAGGGATAACTCATTTTCCAATGTGTGAAATTTGAAAACATTTTCTATTACCAACAAATAATTTCTCCTTACCTTCAAACCTCTAAGCATTTGATAGGTTACCTCTTTCTGGTGTGACATGATTACTCGCACCAGTATCAGCAAACCTCGCTGACTCTTCAAAAATTTTGGGTGTGGCTACATATGCTGCAAGGGTTGAGCTGAAGTTCTGCTGGTTTTGATTAGCAGGTCTGCTCCCCATAAACCTATCATCATATTTGTTGTATCACCAGTTTGCTGTGTGATTGGTCATCCCACAGATTTAGCAAGGCCCTTTGCTTTCACTTAGCCTACCTGATCTGCCTCTACCTTTCGACCTTCCTCTAAAGTTCATGAACCTACCACCGTTGGTTCCTCTAGGAAATTTGCCACCCCCTGAGCTTATTTTTTGAGTCAATTGCACACTTGATTGTACAACATTGAGAGAGGTAAAATTGCTCCTGACGTGATTGAGGTATTCTAGTCTACTTTCGAAGGTCATTAACACAGATGAAAGTTCATGCCATGAAATATTTTGTCTGCTGTTAATCTGTACAACAATGGGTGTGTACTCTTCATCCGAACCTGACAAGATCGCCATGATCCACTGGCTTTCCGGCTATTTTAAGATTATCTGCTAGTTACTTGATGGTAAACAGGTATTGGTCCATAGTCATTGATCCTTTTCTAGTCCTCTGGATCTCTCTAGTGAGCAAAACAATCCTTGATTTGTTCAGTATTCCATAGCTCTTTTCAACTGCTGTCCATAGTATGTTTGAGCTGGTGCATCCCATAACTCTCATTGCTAGTCATAGATGAATAAAACCAGCCCATAAGCAATTGATTAGTAGAGATCCACTTGCTGTACTCAGGATTTTGAGTCATTTCAACTGCTTCTCCTCCATTGAAGGTTGTTTATGTGGCTATGAATTCTTGTGGACATTGCTTTATTCCAAGCAAGTAGCCTTCGAGATTATGCCCTCTGATAATTGGCATAATCATGTTCTTCCACAACAAGAAATTATTCTTGTCAAGTTTTACTACAAGAGTTTGGGTGAGATTCATTCCGAAAGGTGAGGCTTGAATGATATCAGCTTGGACAGTCGATGCCAAACTTGGAGCGGTCTGATCACTTGCATCGGCATTGGCCATTTTCCTGCTTTGGTACTAAGAAAGAAAACTAGATCTTTATATATATCAAAAAATTACTTAAAAGGATAACAATCTTACCTACTATATCTAGCCTTATATATACATTAATCCTATACACGCAAATTACATATAGAAGGAATATTCTATAGTACACATCATCTAATTACTAGCTGGCTAACAGATTATATTCTTTAAGGGCATTCCACCGGGAATTAGTTAGGCTGTTGGTTTTTTTGTAGTGTAAACTTTAACAAAACACAAATCCCATACTCTATTTGCTGATCAGGATAAAGTACAGTAGCTCGCTAAAAATGAGCATTAATTAGATTCCTCATTTGCTTAGGGGTAAGGTCATCTACAAATTTCTCCTAGATGAAGTTAAAATACAAAGAATTGGATCGAGCAGCATTGGAGACGAAATGGAGAAGTGCAGAAAATGCCTTCGGGTTTAGCTCCTCATTAATCCAAGGGAAAAATAAAGACTTAGGGTCGTAACTGACTTAGGCCCTCTTGGCATGTTCATCTTCTTGCTAGGTGCCTAGATGGAAATGGGGACTCAGACTCCAAAGGAAAAGGCCTTTGAGTTAACCCAGCAGCACCGGATATCTAATCACTAGCCCCTTGAGGGGAAGGATGTCACTTAGATACATCTTCACCCCTCGCGAAGATATGCCTTTAACCTTATTAGAACTCTCAGAGACCAAGTCTTTCAGAGAAAGATGAGCCAAAGTTTTCTGGTGCTTGGGAGAAGTATTAAAATCAATTTCATGGCGATAGGGATATTGAGAATATCTGAACAATTAAAATAATAAGGAGCTGGCGTTTTCCATATTCACCATAACATTAAGAAATAACAAAAAACAAAGTTCACTGGGATTAAATCCCAAATCACATGAGCAAGAAAAGTACTCTTTTTATCCAATAATAGAAAAGAATATGACAAAAGCAGTAGCAAAGAGGGGAGTCCAAACCTAATATCCGTTGAAAATATTCAGAACACTATTAAGTCCATGTCATGAAAAGCCAACCCTGAATCTTATTTAAACCATTCTCAATAACATGGGTAAACAATCACAAGACATAAAAAAATAAGCAAAATATAAATGCAATAGAAGAACGTACCTGGATAAGAAAGATTTAAAGGGTATTAAAGGAGAACAAACCACTGTCTAGCAAAAATATCGTCGAAAAATAAGATAAGGGCACAAAAGTTGTAAAAATGGAAGGATTACTAAGGAGAAGGCACATATTTATAGGTGTAGACGAAAGGCTTAGGTTGTCTAGTGAATCAATAATAGATCTCGACAATTCAAAATCTCTTTGTAATCATAACAATCTGATATCAACAATCTCTGATCTACATTTGAAAAAGACACGATTGAGATTGAGCCTGGTTAACACACACATTAAATGCCTATGAGGTATTATCCTAGAAACACTCAAATAAGCATCCTCTAACGCATGACAAATCATGACATGTTCCTTCAATACGATCAACTTCAACTCCCACCAACAAAAAGAAGGTATAAATAAGTCCGCAATTTCGCAAAAATATAACAAGTCCCAGATTTATTATGAATAATCAAATCGGACTTTGGAGACTATTTGTTGATGTTCGACCAAGAGAAAAACAAAGCGAGACTCGCTGATAATTTTCATAAATCAATCCACGAACTTAGCTGGCCATCCACAAGGCTTCTGAGATGCAAAGTAATAGAATCTTAAAATGGTTTACACCCACTTAGTAAACCATTCCTTCATTCAAGCGGCTACATGCTATTATAACGATACACCTGGTCTAGCAAATAAAAAGTAATATTGTTACAAACCCATTTTAATTAGTCAAAGTCAATGGTTGAATTGTCGAAGTCAATGTCAATATGGACTTAATTGGAATAATTTATTTTTCTTGGGGCTTATTTTATATTTAAGATAATTGAGGGTTAATGTGGTTTAAATTGGAAGTTGAGGACTTACTTATATTATCTTGGGAAGTGGAGGGACTTCTTTTGCAATAAGCACATAACTTAACCATTTTAAAACCCATTTCCCATTTTCATCCTCACCGGTACGTAGAGAGGAAGAGAAAAACCGAGAAAAGAAAGGAAGAAAGGAGAAAGAAGAAGAAAAGAAAGGGAAAAAGAGAAAGAAAAAGAGAAAGGAAGGGAAGAAAAGGGTAAGTGGCAATTTCCTCAATCTTAGGTTCGATTTATCTTAATTTTTTTCAAGAGATATAGAAATATATATTGTCTATTTTTAGGGTTTTAATTGAGTGGTTTAATTTTTCAGATTAAGTTGAAGATTTACCCTAATTAGTTCAAGTTTTTGAGTGATTGTCCTCCATTTACTTCAAGGTAAGGAAATGCTATTTTTGAAGCAAACCCTATGATTTTTAAATGGATGCTGACTAAGTATTGATAGTGGGAATTATAGTGTCGATGAAATACTTACAAGAAAGCATGATTTTATGGAACAATATGTATATTTAATTGATTGGATGTTAGTTATTAGTTGTTACTAGATTGAAGGAGATATTTGCAGTTAATCTTAGAAT